GATTCTTTAATTGCTCTAAATCTATCGGCAATAACTACAATTGAATTTTTTTTCATAACAAAGAATCACATTTATTCTTTATATGCAAAAAATGCAACTGAGCATGCACAAGTCACCCTGCGTTAATCACCATTCAATTGTGTATTTACACAAGTTGGTTTCTATCTGAGCTTTCTACGTGAGCTTGCAAAACAATGTGCAAAAAAAAAAAAAACTCATGTACCATTACACAGATTGAAATCAATCTTGCTTATTTTTTATTTTTATTATCGAACAAAAACAAGATTTCAAACTTAGTAATCAAAGTTACGGTAACGACAATTTCTATTAAATATATTTGTCCGCTTTGAAATTAAGCAAACCCGTTAAAACTGTAGGATAAATCCCGAAAATGAATTTATTTACTTATCTCAATTTTTTCCAAGATTTCTAAATCATCTCGAATTTATTTTTTCCAGAAAGGTAGAAGATAAAATCTATTTTAATATTGTTAGAAGTATAACAATCCAAGACAAAAAGAAAACATAAAATCAAATATTTTATAGATCCACAATTTGCTTCCATGATGATTCATACAAGTAACGACAAACAGCTTTCAATTCCTCACAAGATCTCGTCGTAAAACTCGTGTACAAGAATCAATAATAAAACAAACACAATTAATAATATGGAAAATATTCGATTAAATATTATGAATAGAAAACCATAAATATATGAATAGAAATAAGTTGAGTCATGTAATTACGCAGTTTCCTTAAGATATATTTTCGGCCACTCCTTGGTATTTAAGTCTGTCTCCCAGGATACAACAACGAGATGATCAGTGCACAATAGCACAACTATCAAGATCACGAACTATTCCTTATCTTCATCTATCATCGGAAAAAAAAAACTAGAATAGCTTTGGAGGCAAATTTCAAGGCTGCATTGGCTACTCTTAGTGGTTCAAACACAGTCGTGGGTGTTCATCTTGTGAAGTGGGTTTTGTGTTGTGGAGAGACCAGTTTTTAGGTAGGCAGCTTGTGTGGCGTTCAAAGAGGTGTCGAGAGATTCATTGTTTAAGGTTTAGTGCAAGGATGTTTTGGTGGAAGGTTGCTCTATTGTGGCAAGTCATGATTTTTTGTGTACAAGTGTGTGGCAATTGTTTGTGGAGTATTGTTCATTGCAAAGCTCGCTGTTTTAATTCTTCTATGGTGATGGTTAAGGTGGTGGATTATGGTTCGATCGAAGCTTTTTTCCATGTTTCGATTGTTAGGCGAGGCCAAGTTATATTACTTGTGTTGCTTTGGCTTTAAGGAGTGTTTGAATAGCTAGTTCCCTTCTTGTTTGGTAATGGATTGTGGGAGAGTACATGGTCCTCTGCGTACTGCTTCCTTATTTTGTTTGGTATAGTCGGAGAGTAATTCTTAGGTTTTGGAACCTATTTTCTAATCCTTCAGCATTTCATCGGTTGGGGGATGTTGGTAGTGATAGCTAAGATTCAGCATTTGTTTTTGATGTCCTGGTTAAGCTGCTATTTCTCTATCTGCGCTCTTATCTTATATGAGATGATGTTTTTCTAATGCCTCGGTATTTGCTGGTGATGTGGACATATATCAATTGTTTATTCTCTTGTCTTCTCACGTATTTAGAGAAGTTGTTTGATGGAAGTTTTTTAAGTAGTGTTGAGGGGTGTTCTATTATGGTGGTTAGGTGTGTCGGTTGTGGAGTATTTATCCTTAAAGAGCTCCTTGTGATGGCCCTCCTTTGATGCCGAGTGAGATTCTCTTGCTGGGTTAAGTGGTTTTTTGGTTCTCTGTCAGTGCTGATTTTTCGGGAAATGCTCACGTGCGGCAGCTTTAATATACGACTAAAAAAAGGAGTTACGTTATTATTTAAATAATAAAACTGGTAAAAAAAAATGACCGGAAACATTATTATTTCTATCAGTTTTGTTATTATTTTGAGGTTTACTGGATTTGGTAAAGCGCTACCAATTTTGTTATTTTTTTATACCGGTTTTGTTATTATTGGACACTTTTACCAAAAATATTAAAAAAATTGATATTTTAGGTAAATTTAATAATATTTTACGTAATTTTTTATCGGTTTTGTTATTTAAATAATAACAAAATCGATAGCGCCTAAAATTGATTTCTCATTGAGAATGGCGGTTGATAATTGTGCTTATTGGTTCAGTTAGTTGGTTCTCTTTTGTTTCGATTGTATGTGTTTGTTGCAAACTTTTGGTTGGTCAATTTGTATGTAATTTTTTCCTACATTTAGGTTTAGGGAAGTTTTCAATGAGCATACATTTTGATCATATTCAATTCATTATTAATAAAGCTTATTTTGCCGATAAAAAAAAAGTTTTTGAGATGTTTTCAATTGTGTTTAACCTAGTAGGTTAACATAGTATTTATAAGGAGTCCATATTGTGAATAATTGGATATTTTTGACCTACTGAAGTATTAATGAGAATAAAACAATTAAACAACTTCTAGAATTACTGTTTTGATTAAATGAACCTTTTAATATTTATCCTTTAAATTTCAAAACAAATTTTAAAAAGGTATATTTTATTTGAGGAAAAATATTTCACATTTGGGTTAAAATATCTGCAAGCCCACAAAAGGCTTGGCCGATTTGAACATTAACGTTACATCGTGCAAGTCTACACATTTACGAACCAACAATTGGTTTCACATTTTCCTCAACAAAGTTTTGATCATTTTCTCATTCAAAGCTCCAAAATAATCGATTTTTTACAAGAACCATTTTATGTTAAAGGAGTTGATCTTGTGCACTATCGACGTCAGTAATGGGAGTTCCTTCGGCGTTGTTTTGATTTTATATTAGTGTGTGAACTTGCTTTGATATTGTATATGATTGCATTCTTTTTTAACGTCAAAACATTTCTTTAACTTAGGTATTTTTTTATAAATTGTTTTACGATTTTAATTGTTTTTGATAAAATATTACGTTTCTCTAGATTTTTACTGTGGGTCACTTTGGTGGACCTAATGTTACACCTCGGATCTGATCGGATTCGACATCCTTAGCCGAAAGGCTATCTCTATTTTGCAATCGACAAGTGTGCGCTTGCACCTATTGCTGTAACATGTCTACCTCATTGGCCTGAACACCGATTCAACTTCATACACCAGGACGTTAAAATATTTGGCATTAACCTTCATTTTGATAACATCAACAATCCTATTTTGAATGTTTAAGATGATTTGAATCTTAGCCTAATCAAATGACGAGGGATATTGAGAATTTTCATCAATGGCAATAATCTTACCCCTCTTGGCAGTAATGTTCTTGAAAGTATCGTGATTTCATGAATGAATTGGGATTCCCTCACAAGCTAACGATGCACAACGACTCACCACCTCCAGAACTTCTGACCAATATTCAATTCTATAAAACCATTCGTTGAAAGATTTTGTTTTCTCGGCCTTCACTCTTCTCATTGTATCTATGTTTTTAAAAATCAATAAGACAACATCTTAATTCTCATAATAAAAAAGGCAGCTAGACCTTTTCCATGTAGTCGGCTTGCAGGGCTTCCAATTGTACAGAAATTCTTGCACCTTCCTACCAAACAATTTTGCAGCATTTGTAGTTTTGCTTCGTCAATAATCCCTTTTACCGTCGTGAGCTCCATCCTTGTGGCAGCTACGACACTTTTCTTCTGGTATGATGGTTTTTTTTTTTAATTATGTTCATATTTATTATATATAGTTGTTTTGTTTACATTTGTAATACGTTCATGTGTTTTGTATAGTTTTTTAGGATGAAAATTTGATTTGATTTGATGGATTTCGACTTGATTCGATTTTGTTGGATTTTTTTTTTGAAATTTCAAGTTTGGATCGGATTCCCTTTTAAGAGTTGGATTGAATCCGAATCAATTTTAGAATGAAAAATTCAAGTTTGGTCATGTCTAGGGATGGACTTAGGTGGGGCGGGTGGAGGTAGTTGTCTCCTCTAAAAGTTTAAAATTACCATATATTTTAGATTTTTTTCTATGTATTTTCTTTTAAAAATTTATTTTCGCCCCCTTAAATTTTATATGTTTAATTTCGACTCCTAAAATTTTCTAAATTCAAGTTCGCCCTCTAACTTAAAATTTTGCGATCGTCCCTGGTCATGTAGGTGAGTCCCTCCATGATTTATGTTATCCAATACACTTATATGTTTGTTCTATTTAATTTGTTGTTGTGCATATTTATGGATGTTGCTGGGTTTTTCACATTTTATCTTTTTTTTAAGGATGAAAGAAGATTAGGTTTGTGATATAAGATTAAATTGATATATCATGTATTTATGGTTTTAAGAAAATATAAAATTTATTTTTACGGCTGAAATCTTTGACAAGATAGGGCGGCCGTATGAGGAAAATCATAAAAGAAAATGTCTACTTCCAAATGGGACCTTGTGGAATCAATTATTTATGAATGTTACTGATTTTCTATACATTTTATATTTTTTTATAGGATAGAAGAAGATTAGTTCGAGATTTAAGATTAAACTCATAAAATATTAATTGCTTACTGATATTAGTTTAAAAAAAAAGCTAACCACAGTTTAAAGTACCTCTCAAAGTTGATGGTTGATCTCAAATTCTAAAATGATATTGTTAATTGCTTACTGATATTAGTTAAGTTTACATAGAATAAGGAAACAAGAATGCTTGAAGATGTAAAAATTCATATAAAGTAGTTCAAAATATTTTCTTAAAAATTATTCAAACACATGAATACCGTCCATGAAAAATCGTTCTAGAGATATCTGCTACCAAATGGGACCTTGTGGAATCAATTATTTTTAATGACTTATTAAAGCATGTGCTTAAATAAATAATAAGAAGACGAGAACAGTAAATAACAAGACAACAAAAGTGCTGTTGGGGTGGGGTAATGCGGTATTGAAAATTTGACATGTGTTGTACCTTACCTCAATGAATTATGGACGTTCATGGACCACACACCTCTATAAATTGGCATGGAAATTAAACCAACAACACATCTCAACACACAATCTGCTAACCATGAAATCCACAAGTGCTTCTGTATTTCTTCTTTTCGTCCTGTTTGGCCTGGCCAACGCTGCAAACAATGCCGTGCTGGATAGAAACGGTGAAGAGGTCGTCACGGGCGTCCCATACTATGTAGTGTCGGGAATATGGGGCGCTGGTGGTGGAGGGCTTGCCATAGGCAGGGAGAAAGGTAGACCATGCCCGGAAATCGTCGTTCAGAGACAATCCGATATGGACTATGGTAACCCCGTGATATTTTCTAATGCGGACCACAATGATGATGTTGTCCGTGTGTCCTCCGACGTAAACTTGAAGTTCACTGGACCAAGAGATAGACTCTGCCAAACAACAACGGTGTGGAAGGTTCAACATGGCGAAGACTCAACCGGACAAAGGTTTTTGGAACTAGGTGGGGAGGAAGGAAACCCTGGTTGCGACACAGAGAAGAGTTGGTTTAAAATAGAGGAGACCGGCATAGAACGTATGTACAAATTTAAGTACTGCCCTTCGGTATGTGGTTCATCCGACACTGCTCGCAACGAAATTGAGAAAGCTCATCCCGACACTGCTTGCAACGAAATTGAGAAAGCTCAGGGTAAGGATGGACAAATACGTTTGGCTCTATCCGATGGCGAAGGGTCTGCATGGCCATGGATATTTATCAAAGCAAACAAACCACATAATAGGATCCGACCAGTTATTCCTATTAATAAAAAGCCATCCTTGTGCATCAACTAATTACTACTGTAATAGTAGTATTAGGCTATTAGCTTTAAGTGAATAAAGGGCCACTGCTTAAATCTGAGAGTGCTTATCATTAAAGTTGCCGTGTTAGAGGCAGCAGCATGCTCGTGCTAACAGGGTTTGCCTCTCAGGGCCCAACTTTGTACTCTTTTACGCTTGTTGAATAGAACTATGTAAATTACTTCATGCTGCCATTGATTCTAGTATTAGTCTCATTAATTGGGTAACATGTTTGGTTATTTTTAGCATCAAGTTCGATCACATCACATGCATAAGAATTAGATGAAAAAAAAACTTCGAAAATTGAAAGAATAGATTGATAATGCATAAGAAAATTATGATGAGAGATGTTAAATAATAATAAATTAATTAAATAAAATTTATGCTCTTATAATAAGTCATTTTTTGGTGAATAGATCATTTATTAATAATAAGTCACTTGGTGAATAGATTTATTTTTTGATTTAAAGTTATATTTATTCAATTATCTCTACTAGCTTTACAATAAATCTTTCATCAAATGATCTTAATTATTCATAAGAAGGTCATAACCTTTTGATTAATTTCCTTTCCTCTATATATAGTCTAGTTAAGGAACAAATCTTATTGACATTTTTTCACAACCTTGAATAGGAAATTAGAAATTCATTCCTGATTCTTTCTGTCCGATGAAAGAGAAGGGTAAAATTGTGTTCGATTGATCACTTGGGTTGTGCTTATTATTGTGATAGTTTGTTAGACTGACATTCAATGTTTACTCAAAGCACCGAGGAGAGACGAATCTGTCTTAAAGAAAATATTCATACATTCGTCAACAAAACTTCCCCTTCTATTTATCTAACTCCGCTCATCTGATTTCATGTCTACATATGAATAATCAAATTTTGTTTCTCAACTTTAATTTTATATTTATTTTACTTCGTTCGATTTAATAATAATATTTACTTATTTTATTATTATTTTATTTATCATATTAACATTTTGTCAAACAATATTAAGATATAATATTTTTGTAGTTTTTTAACCTAAGATTGATTCTTTGAGTTTATTCATGGTCATATACCAATGAAGCATTAAACAGTGACAAATCAAGTGTTGGACGCCATTTGCAATTTGCAATTTGCAATTTGCAAGTTGGAATGCAATTTGCAAGTTGGAATGCAATTTGCAGATGCAATGGAGTGAATGTGATAGTCTACGTGTTATTCATTTCTTTGTGCAGTTGGTAAATTGATTGTGGAAATTTGACTATCGACATGCCATTGAAATTTTCAAGTAGAGCGAGACACGTTTTTTTAATGCAAATATAATTTTATTACTTTTCCGCAAACTCAGCTTGGGTCTGTGCCTCGTTAAAAAACCTCACTAAGCCTAACAAGAGGAAAAAGAGTACAACGAACCAAAGCTTAGATTACAAGGGTTTCATGATTATAACGTAACACAAAACTAATTTTGACATTCACCATACACTGCCTTAAAATCAACTCCTTCCATCACATTCAGTAGAACTAAAGTGCAGGAACAAACCAAATTACCAATACTCTCAAATCCAATAGCTGTTGGAGAAGGGTTTCATTCGACTTAGCATATCCCCATACGGAGCACCGGTTTTGTTTGTCCAGAAGGAGAACGAGTCGATGAGGTTGTGCATCGATTATCTACAGTTTAATAAATTGACCATAAAGAACCGACTCCCTTCCCAAGGATCGAGGACCTTTTTTGTTCAACTTAGAGGAGCATGCATGTTCTCCAAAATTGACTTGAGATTGGGATATTATCTGTTCAAGGTTAAGGATGCCGACATAGCGAAGAGGACTTTTTGGACTAAATATGACCACCATGAATTTTGAGTTAAAAATTTGGAGGCAGCACCTTTTAAGGAAAAATGCTACATCTTTACCGATCACAAGAGCCTTAAGTACCTGCTCATGCAAAGGAGTTGAATTGGAGACAACATAGGTTGCTCAAGTTCATAAAGTACTACGATTATGTGATCAACTACTACCCAGGAAAGACATATGTAGTTACAAATGCCTTGAGTAGGAAATCGATGTCGGAATTGTAATCTTTATTTTCTGACGCCAGACAGAATAGTGATTATCCTACAAGCGCTCCAACAAATGATTCACAAGAGAAAATTCGCCAAAAAAACCAGAGAAAAAAGTCTCTAGGGTTTAATAAATATTATAAATTTAAAATCCTCCAAAATCAGTCCACAAGCCGGACTGTTATAGCCAAAAATCGTCTTTATTCGAATTTTTCCAAAAATAGCAAAATCCCGAAAATCACTCTAAATTGAAATTTGAAATAAAATAAGCAATCTCCAAAAAATCCGGCCTAAATCGGATTTAAATTGACTTCCTAATTGATAATCGAAATATTACCATAAATAGTAAAAAATATCTAAATCTAGTGATTCGGAGGGGAAAATGGCAGAATTTGAGGTTGAAAAAAGATCACATGGAGCATAGCTCATGTGGAGATCGTGCGCGTCGAAAATAACTTTCTGGATTGGGGTCTTATGCACGATTCTGACACCTGTAGCCAAAGTTATGGCCAAAAGACTGAAACATACTCAAAACGACCCTAATGAGGAACATGTCACAATCAATTCTCGCCTTTGCGCTGATCTGCCAATTCATGGTATCTCAGCGCCATCAAGGTGCAATCTGACAGCTCAGCATCATCTGTCTCAGATCCCCCTGCATCAGTCACCCCGGGTTGGAAAGAACTCGTCCTCGAGTTCAGAGTAGTGTCATCAGAATCCACAAAACAATGACTCAGGTGTTTCACATTAAAGACATCAGAAGTCTTCAAGTGGCTGGGAAGGCACAACCTGTAAGCATTATCATTGATCTTCTGCACGACCTCACAAGGTCCAATCTTCCGATCCTTAAGCTTATTATACTCACCAACAGGAAAACGATCACGAGTTAATACAACCCAAACAAAATCACCAACATCAAAAAGTACCTGACGACGATGATTGTCGACCCGAGTCTTGTACTTGGTATTGCTCTCATGAATGGTTTGTTTCACCTGTTCATGGATACCCCTAAGATACTTTGCCATCTCATCTGCTTTAGGACTGAAATGACCTATACGTGGAATAGGGGCTAAGTCCAGCACCCCGGATGGGTTCTGACCATAGACAATCTCAAATAGGCTTAAACATGTGGTTCTGTTTTTTGATCTGTTGTAGGCAAATTCTGCCTGAGGCAATGACAAATCCCACTACTTTGGCTTCGTTCCTGCCAAACACCTCAAGAGGTTTCCCAAACTTCAGTTCACCACCTCGGTCTGGCCATCCGTTGGGGGTGGTAGGCGCTACTGAAATTCAACTATGTTCCCAGTTCCCCCACAGGCTCTTCTAGAAATGACTGATGAACTTAGTATCACGATTTGAAGTGATGGATCGAGGAACACCATGTAAACGCACAATCTCCTTGAAATAGAGATGGGCAATCCGGTCAGCATCCATAGTCTTTCTGCAAGCTACAAAATGAGCCATCTTGGAAAACCTGTCAACCACAACAAAGATAGAATCTGAGGCCCTTTGGGTGCGGGGTAAGCCTAGTACAAAATCCATGCTGACATCGAACCAAGGAGCTTCAGGAACAGGTAAGGGAGTGTACAAGCCCGCATTGGTGAGAACTCCCTTAGACCGCTGGCACACATAACAACGGTCCACATAATGGGCAACATCACTAGTCAACTTGGGCCAATAAAAGTCAGAAGAGATAAGGGCCAAGGTCTTATCTCGGCCAAAGTGTCCCTCATTATGGAGTTCACTTATAATTTGCTATCTCAATGAACAATCTGGAATGCACAACTGTAATCCACGAAACAGATACCCATTATGCAAAACAAAATCATGACGGTGACCCTCAGTTACCTCCTGAAATATCCTTCCAAAGGAAGGATCAGCTGCATACATATCTGTGAACGTCTCAAAGCCTGCAACTTTAGTACTCATGGTGGTGAGAAGTAAGGTACGACGGCTCAGGGCATCTGCGACGCGGTTCAAACTCCCTGCTTGGTGCCTCAGCGTAAAAGTGAATTCTTGCAAGTATGCCACCCACTTGGCATGACGTCTACTCAGCTTGTGTTGTCTATTGATGTACTTCAAGGCATCATGATCGGTAAACAGAATAAACTCCTTCTGTACTAGGTAGTGACGCCAATGCTTCAGGGACTGAACTATGGCATAGAACTCCAGATCATAAGTGGAATAATTTTTCTTTGATCCCGATAGTTTTTCACTGAAAAAAGTAACCGGATGACCTGCCTGACTCAGAACACCACCAATGCCAACGCCAGATGCATCACAATTTATCTCAAACACTTTGTCAAAATCTGGAAGTGCCAAAACTGGAGCCTCGGTCATCTTCTGCTTGACCAGTTGAAAACTGGCCTCTGCCTCCTCGGACCACTGGAAATCACGCCCCTTGAGGCACTCTGTGATAGGGGTGATCAGAGTACTGAAATTTTTAATGAATCGGCGGTAAAAAGACGCCAAGCCATGGAAACTTCGGATGTCACGTAAGGTCTTTGGTCTGGGCCACTCCAAGACTGCATCTACCTTTGACTGATTGGGCGCATTAGATAGCCCGAAAGGCATGACCATCCACTCATACAACCCTTGTGGCATTTTAAACGCCGTCTTCCACTCATCTCCAGATCTTATTCTGATTTGGTGGTAACCGCTCTTAAGGTCAATTTTTGAGAAGACCTTAGAACCAGATAGTTGATCCAACATATCATCTAGACGGGGAATTGGAAACCGGTACTTAACTGTAATTCTGTTGATAGCTCGGTTGTCAACACACATACGCCAAGAACCATCTTTCTTTGGCACTAGCAGAGCAGGGACTGCACATGGGCTCATACTCTCTCGGATATAGCCCCTCTCCAACAACTCTTCCACCTGTCGCTGCAACTCTTCAGCCTCCTTGGGACTGAGGTGATATGTTGGTCGATTTGGAAAACTTGACCCAGGAACAAGGTCAATTTGATGCTGAATATCCCTCATAGGTGGTAGCCCAGGAGGAAGATCCTCTGGCATCAAGTTAGAGAATTCTGCTAGCAGTCGCTACACTTCTACTGGTAAATCTGCATCCACGTCTACTGCATTGTTCTCACAAGGTAGTAAGGCATAGACCACGTTGCCATGCTCAATCTCA